CCGGAGAATACAATTATATCTCCAATAGACATACGAATAGATTTCTTCTACGGCGAAAGATTCTAAGCCACACCAACTCATTGCCTCGTCTCGTATGAAACAATTGAGGCACTAGGGAGATTCTGCAAAACGAAAATGCGTACAAACTTTCGCTCTACATCATGAAGTGCGAAACTTCGCACCTTTGGACGCGAAACTTGCAGGGAACGCGAAATGAACTGTCGTAGGAAATTTCGTGAGGTCGGGTCATGGCGTAAGTGCACTTGGCCCGCGCAAACTACGAAAATGTGCAGAACGCAAAGTTCGTGCAAAAATTCGCACACACTTTCGCAAGGACTGTCGCGAAACTTCGTTCGAATTTTCGTTTTGCAGAACCTCTCTACTGAACCTTTCTTTAGCAACATGACGGCAACTCAAACAGCAACAGAGAAAGTACGATACATGTACTCCACATTCTTACAGGTACTACAAACAGATTGCAGATCGTAATTCTTGCTTTGGCGGCACGAAACGTTATTTGAGGCAGTGCAATCTCGGCGGTACTCACAAATCAAACAGCCCAGACTTGAGTAAACAAATCCAATCATACAAGTACGAGATTTTCACGAGACGAGACTGCACCCATTGGCTTGTTTCGTATGAAACAAACAAGTTACTGAACCTCTCCACAATAGAGATTTCCCCTGATATGCGAATTTATTTTGCAAACTCGGTCAATTGGTACTTGAACCTTTCCCTCCAGATTGGGAACTGCCAACGATAGTATGCCACTGACCAGTGCCTTACTTGTAACGTACCAATGTACAATGAATATGAGTATTTCGACAACACATCTAACATAAGCCTTACCGTCAAGAAGTTGAACTCGCGTTCTTCGCACACTGCAGACAAGGGCAAAGAGATAAAAATGGATCTAAATCCGAATAAAATCAGCACACGTTTCCGTAAATGAAAGGTGAACATAAGCAAATGAATCGAAGGAAACCGGTCAACTTAGAGATCACCTGTCATCGAGTATTCCGTAAAAGGAGGCCTCGCAGCTCGGCAGCAGAAAAGCAAAATTTAGAAAAGAGATCCTGTCAACTTTTCCATTATTTATTGCATTCCGCCCCAAAATCAGCACACTTTTCCTGAATGAAAGAGTCAACACAAGCAAATGAATCAAAGGCAACTGGTCAACTCACCTGTCATTGAGTAATATTCCGCGAAAGGAGGTCTCAGCAGCGCCGAAACGAAATAAGCCAGGCCATGAGACGAAATATCCGAAACAGCTCATGCATGCAAGAAGCAGTTCCAAAGAAGGAAGTTCCTCGCGCATGCACATCCGAACACGGATCCGCGGACTGCATGCACTGAACACAATGTCTGCCGTGCACGTGCACAGCACACGGCTACCACGCGTTGGTAGATCTAATACCGAGCACCTTACGTAGAGACTTACGTAGCCTAAGTGAAATACCGAGCACCTTACGTAGAAACTTACGTAGCATAGCGGTGTCGTTTTTTCTGCCATGTGAACACAATAATAGAAAAGCTGACAGGATCGCTTTTCTAAATTATCGTGATAGGGGGGCTGATAACCAGACTCAAAGGAAGGTGGGCCCTGGACTGAGCCACGGGGAGGGTCATAACGCCTAGCATAATTATCATGATGGGAGGTCTGGTAACCAGACTCAAAAGAAGGTGGGCCCTGGACTGAGCCACGGGACTGGCCTGTGCCATAAGAGCGAGCAGAATTAGAGGTAGGTTCATTATGGGAAGAATCGTACTGGGGTTTACGGCCTTTATGGGGATCACCATTAAAAGTACTAACAGGGACAGACAGGCGAGTCTCTAGTTTCTCTACTGCCAAACAGAGACGGGTGAGCGTATCAGGTTCATTATTGTACTGCTGTGCACGGGAGGTACTACTATTACCCTTTGAACCAGACCCAGGGGGACGCTCATCTCGTACAGAAGACACAGCTGCACTGTACGGATCATTTATACCATGATTACGCTCATGTCTGGCAGAGGCATCAGCAAAATGAATGTGCTTCCAAATACAGAGCCCTACGCAGTGCATCCTGCATGGTTTCAGGTTGGCTATCCCTAACCCTTGCACGCAATGACTTGCCTAAAGCCTGAATGAAAGATTCCATGGCATAATCATCCCTCTCTAGTACTCCTGCTCTGGGATAAGCCCTGGCTGTCAACAAACGAATGTCATCGGCTAAAGTCGACAACGATTCCCCCATGTTGGCGGCGTTTCGTACGTAGCTGGGTTCTACGGACGTACTGGGCTTCGGCTGGCATGTATCGCTCAGTAAGGATTTTGCGAAGGGTGTCATACTGCCCACATTCTACCACTGTTAAACTTAATAGAAAACGTGCAGCACTGTCACGAAGTGACCTCTTTAACAATACAAGTTTACAGTGAAGTTTGCGTGCAGCATCTTCATCCCTTCGCCTCCAGAGCAGTCAGAAAGGGGTTATGAGTAACGGGAGTCCCAACATCTGAACCACGACCAAGGGGACCCGGACACTGATAGTCTTTAGTGGGGAGGGAGGCATCTGGTTTACTACTACTGGCACTAGACTTGGACTTTGTATCATCAGCATAATGAATCTTTGGTGTTGGAATATCATCAGGTGCGTAAGGACCGTCCGAACAAGCTTCAGAGTACCGAGTATAAAATGTAGCCTCTTTAGGTGGGGCCGGGGTAGACGTAACAGGAGATGGTGTAACCGTATAGTGTGAACCAGATGCTTCCCCTCGGGTTCTTATGGGGGCTGGACGGACAGGCCGAGCCAGAACGGTAGTATCATCCCAACCATTGGCATCACAAGCATTATCGAAATCTAATAAGAATGCTTCGAAATCCTCGTTCTCTTTGCCTGAGAATGGACGGGGCATTATCCAAGAAGATTGACTTGACATATTGAATAGTTTTTTTTTTTTTTTTTTTTTTTTTCAAGATCAAATATGGAAGACCGAACAGGTTCGTACTAAGTATGCTACACTAGACAGTAAGGCTGATAAGTCTGATGCACCCGAAACACCACAAAAGGACACCAATTAACACAAAAGGAAAACGAACAAGAACACAACGGTAGGCAGAAGCACTTATGACTAATATGATACACAAGCTTATCGAAGTTACTCACGCGGGGAAGTGAAAGGCACCGGGAATATTCATTAGAGAGTCGTTGGTAGTCGGTAGAGCGAGGGAGTGGGTAATTAGAGCCAAAGTTGGGCGCCAATGTTGTCAATTCACAATGTTGTCTATTCGGGTTTCCGTTATTGCTTCACACCAGAGATACCAGTTTACGAGAGTTGGTAAAGTATATATTATCTCACAGGACGAGGACAGAATTATTCGACATCAACATTAGGGAGTGGATTCGACTTCTCACTAGATTATATTATAGTCGGTATTATATTATAGTCGGTAGAGCATGAGACTCTTAATCTCAGGGTCGTGGGTTCGAGCCCCACGTTGGGCGCCAATGTTGTCAATTCACAATGTTGTCTATTCGGGTTTCCGTTATTGCTTCACACCAGAGATACCAGTTTACGAGAGTTGGTAAAGTATATATTATCTCACAGGACGAGGACAGAATTATTCGACATCAACATTAGGGAGTGGATTCGACTTCTCACTAGATTATCGAAGTTTGGTTATCTTAGAGTGAACTAGAATAGAATGTACGGTGCAATGCATGAGCGCGCCCATTTAGCTGGGCGCGTATATTATGTGTATAGCCCGACTATGTACACTATAAAGGGATGTAATTAGATCAAGTGTACGGTGGTTTTTATGTGCAGGGGCAGGAGGGAAAACGGGCTACAAATGTGTACGGTACTATTATAACATGCAGGGGCAGCGGGGAAATGGGTCAAATATGGTTATAAGTGTGTACGTACGAACTACTGCATGCAAGGCTAGGGGTAGGGGATAATGGGTCAAATATGGTTATGAAGTGTGTACAAACTACTGCATGCAGGGCCAGGGGTAGGGGGTAATGGAATGCGTATGAACTACAGCATGCAGGGGTAGGGGGTAATGGAATGTGTACGAACTACTGCATGCAAGGGTAGGGGGTAATGGAGTGCGTATGAATTATGCCGGGGTCGGGATCCAAATGTGGGATGCGTATAACACCTGTTTGACCTTTTTTGGGTGCAGTCCTGTCACCATGGTCACTCGAGTTAAACTCGAGTTGAACCTTGGTGTGAAAGTTGTCGCCTGCTGGCGTGGTGACCAGGTGATTTGGGCACCCAGGAGCACGTGACCACTTGTTCAACCATGTTCGATTGGGAATAAAGGAGGAACGCTGCATCGCAGCCTTTTCGGACCAAAACCAGTCGACTCAGCGTCCAAAAGACTACAACATATGGGCCAATCGCGGTCATCCGTGCTTTTATAAGAACGAAATGGCGCTTTTAGTGACATTTTGCATACAAATCCCCATCTCGTAGGGCGCAGTCACCCAGTTTCGGTGGAAGTGCGCGAGTTCGATTGGGATTCAAGTAGGAAGGGAGCGTCTCAGCTTCCTCGGACCACGACCATTCGACTCAGCACCCCGAAGACTACAACTGGTGAAATTTTAATTTTTGCCTTAACTTCCCCTTTAACATTACCTGTCACAAGCTACATAATGCTACTGTTCGCTGTGACTTGTTGCTGTTTCAAGTTTACGTTACGAATTTTGCTATACCGGTCACCGGCACTCCCTAAACATTTTGGTTATACACTGTACATGTACATGTATATTGATGTTTGGGATATTCCTAATTTAGTGACGACTTTCCACTGATGAGTGTCACGCGAAAACGTTTTGGAAATTAGTACATTTATCTTTTACTTGTACATGGTTGTGCCGGCACAATTTGTTTTATTCATTGCCATCTTACGCCTACTGTCTCCTCCAGGAGTGTTAAAAAAAAAGTAATTTCATTGTGTTTGTTTTGCCTGCAAAAGAGGCTAATGCCATGCATGCTTGTACTGGTACTCATGTCTGGTGAAACATTGTTATTTAGAAAAAGAAGAGCACGACTTGGGTACAGAACGTGTACATTGAAAAAACCAATCAACAGGCAGCTGGATCCACTAGTGGTGGAGTGAATTGTCATAAAAATCGGAGTGATGAAATCTCATGAGCTTGCCAATGAGCCAAGTGTAAGAATACGACAATTTTAAGACAACTACTACTATGCAGTGTAAAATTTAATTTTTGAAAGGATTGGGAAAACTACGAATTCAAAGGATCAGTTTGAATACGCAGTGTAAGCAGAACCTTTGATATGAACGGCATACATGATGTACAACAACTAAAACAGACCTCAGGACACTGTGGGGAATGGCTAGTTTTGTGTTGGGCACGTAAAAAACAGCTGTTAAAAAGACGCAGGCGCCGCAAACCTACATGTATGTTAGGTCCGGTAGCAACCGATACCATGGATACCCGATACCATGGATACCGAAACACAAAACAACAGAACACTAAGTCGTGTTGTGCCTCTTGAAGTAAAACGATTCGAAAGGTCCAAAAAAATCTCATAGAAAAATAGCCAACTCAACATTGCCGTCACATTACGCAAATGGCTGGCAAAGGGACACAGAAGACAACAAGGGACAGTTAAGTCTGAGATGAATCCCTAGAAGTGCTGAAATTGCCATGAGAGATGGGGCGTCCACAGAAAGTGAAGACATTTCACGGAAAGTAGAGATTTCACGGAAAGTAGAGATTTCATGGGAAAGTAGAGATTTCATGGGGAAAGTAGACATTTCACAGGAACTAGAGATATATTTCGTAGCAGGATCCAGCAGGAGATGATCGTTGTGTGCGGCATAAGATACTGAGTGTAGGCTGGTGGTCTCAGGCGCCAACAGCAGTTCTCAGAATGCGAACGACGGCTTACTCTGTCTTCACCTTCCCGGCAATGGGCTTCTCCCGTGTGAGACGGATCATTTCCGTCGAATTGCGGTAGATGAGGAACAGCTGGCCAACAAGGCGCTCCTCCAAGCCATAGCGTCCACTTTCACGCACCAAGTAAATGTCTTTGACAAGGCCGTGAATGGCGTCCGGATTTGGCAGGTCGTCGAAGGGAATGCGATGCGAGATGTTCTTGAAGAACAGTCGCAGGAACTGGCCGACAACCAGCACTAGAGAGATGTAGAGACCAATGATCCTGTAACCACACAACAACATCAAGAGTGGGGCTGAGTGAGTAGGCGATCAAGTGGAGGGGGTGAGCGATCAGGTGAACAGGTGTGCAAGAGAGTGAATGAGTGAGAGAGTGAGTGAATGAGTGAGTGAGTGAGTGAGTGAGAGTGACAGAGAGTGATGGAGAGAGAGAGAGAGAGAGAGAGAGAGAGAGAGAGAGAGAGAGAGAGAGAGAGAGAGAGAGAGAGAGAGAGAGAGAGTGTGTGTGATGGAGAGAGAGAGAGAGAGAGAGAGAGAGAGAGAGTGATGGAGAGAGAGTGAACGAGAGGGAGAGAGAGAGAGAGAGAGAGAGAGAGAGAGAGAGAGAGAGAGAGAGAGAGAGAGAGAGAGAGAGAGAGAGAGAGAGAGAGAGAGAGGGAGAGAGAGGAGGAGGAGAGAGAGAGAGTAAGTTACATTTATAAAGACAGGTAAGTCTAACAAATGAGGACTGAGACCTCTACAACAGGGTTTTTACGCCTGAAAGCAGGTGCATGATTTAACAAGCAGGTTGTCAGTCTAGATTTTATGCGCAGATGGAGAAAAAATGAGAGAGAGAGAGAGAGAGAGAGAGAGAGAGAGAGAGAGAGAGAGAGACGGAGAGAGAGAGAGAGAGAGAGAGAGAGACGGAGAGAGAGAGACGGAGAGAGAGACGGAGAGAGAGACGGAGAGAGAGAGAGAGAGAGAGAGAGAGAGAGAGAGAGAGAGAGAGAGATAGATAGAGAAAGAGAGAGAGAGAGCTAAGGAAAGAGAGCTACGGAGTGAGAGAGCAGACAAATGAGGAAGTGACCAAGTGATCACATGACCACGTGACCATGTGAGGGGTGGGGTTCATTTGTTCTTGAGGGAGTAAACAATCGAGCGAGTACAGCGGCCCCAAATGCAGAAAATACAGTAACACCGAGGTAGCACAACATGAAAACTCCAGCACACTGCAACACAGCCACTCACCCTTGCCCGGCTAATATGGAGAACTGAGGCGCAGCGATCTTCGGACTGAATATGATCATCTCCACACTGTTAGTGGCGTTCACACCACCGCCGCTACCGCTACCAGGGTTAGTGATGACGTGCTTTCCTTCGCTGTAGAGTGACCACCAGCGCTGCGGCGCGTCCGACCCCGGTGGGTACGTGCTCAGTGCTAGCTGTATACTCACCGGGTGATCCCCTGTGTGCACACAGACAGTGTAGGTGACAATGCAACAATAAGACTATGCAAGAGGTACACAAAAGGAAGTAAAATAGGGCTGCTTCGCTGTTACTCAGAGTTTCATGGCAAAAAACAATCATCAGACAACAATAAGAATACGTGGATTACGGAAGAGCCCATTCATCCAAGATAGTAAATTTGTGACCGAATTGAGGCTCAAAATCCCACTTTAAATTTCGAAAATCTGAGATTTGGACCTGCTCCTCCATACATTTTGCCATGGGTTACCACTCTTGATTTTTGAAAAACCTGGCCGAATGTTTAACTCCCTATACTGGGACTTTCCGGCCTCAAATGTGGCAAGGAAGCACGGGTCACACAATGCAGAACGTACGGTATTATCACGACGTCTATCACAATACTTGCGAGATATTATTATTATTTTAAATTTAAAAAAAAAACTGCCGTGTTCAGGTTCGCTCGTGCCGGATAGATTCCAGTAAGGGGATGATGATTAGATGATGTTGAGCTACGTGATAAAAAAAATTAAAAAAAGAACTTGAGAGATAGCAAAAAAAAGGAGACAATACACAGTGTCGTGTGTCCCGGCCGGTGAACTCACGATTCAGGGCAGACATGGCCTTCGCGACGCCGGTTCGATGGAGCGTTGATGAACGTGGGGAAGATGTTTTTAAACGTACTGCGAGAGCATACATATGTACAGACACACGCCAGCACATACGTACACGTACCAACATACGTACACCCACCAACATACGTACACCCACCAACATACGTACACGCACCAACATACGTACACGCACAAACATACGTACACGCACCAACATACGTACACGCACACACAAAGCATCGGTGTCTACAAACATGTAGATATCATGACTTTACGCCAGTATTCAAAAGTGCGAGGGATTGAAAATGGGAAAAGGTCTGAAGAAAAAATTGACTCTCACCACCTCAAGAGGGACCTTTGCTAACGGCTAGCGATGCTCTAGCCACCGAGCTATGGTGTTGCGCGGTCATCCCAGCAGAGACCGTTCAACACTTTCTTCAGACTTCGAAATTCACGCTCCCTGTGAAAGTAAACAAGCTTGTGAGACGCTACACCCACAGTATCTCAACACGTCAGGCGTAAACTAGCAATGGCATAGGTCAAAGAAGTTATTTACCTTTTTAAAATATGCACTTTGGAATTGCATGCCAATCAACATGCTCATACTCCTCACTGTATACTCAAGCGCCACGCTCCGTACCGCAAAGCTAGCAGATTGTCCCTTCGGTATCATTGCCCTCGGTAATTGCCATGTTCAAGGTGTGTGTGTGTGTGTATATATGTATGTGTGCATACCGTATTTCCACAAATAGTAGGCCGGTCTTCTATTTTTCAACCTCGTCCTAACCCGGCCTTATAATCGAGGACGGTCTTGTATTCGAGGACGGTCTTTTATTCTTTCAACCCAGTTTGACCCCCGGTCTTCTATTTCTCGCAACACAGTTTTACCCCCGTTCTTCCATTTTCTTCCTACACAGTTTGAGCACGGTCTTCTATTTTTTCCCACAGTTTGAGCACAGTCTTCTATTTTTAACACAAGAACAAAGACTCATTTAGTAGCCCCGGTCTTCTAATCGGAGACGGTCTTTTATTTTTTCGATCGCCCCCTGCCCCGGCCTTGTATACGAGGAAGGCGTTGTATACGAGGACGGCCTTTTATTTGCGGAAATACGGTATGTGTGTGTGTGTGTCGTATGTCTGTATGTGTGCGCATGTGTGCCATATGGTGCAGTGGTATGTGCAGCGATTTCCAATCGATAGGTTGCGGGTTCGATTCCCGACGATTATGGTCACACACGTCTTTCTTCTCTTTCTCAGACTCTTCTGACTTTTCTTTCATTCTCCTGGGTGGTTACCAACAGCCAGTGTATGCCGGAGTATGTGGTGTGGTGTGTGTGTAGAAAAAGAAAAAAAAGAAAAAAGAAAAAATGGAAAAATGAAAAATAGGGATTCACTGGCCAGAAAAAGTCACTTCAAACAGCTGTGTGGTGGATACCAGGCTAAAAATAGTGGCGGTCAATTCATCAGCCTTGCAAGCTGTTGAATGGTGTAATTCCAGCACAAGTTGCTATGTCTAACATAGCTGTTCGCTATCATCGCTCCCGCGATGGGCATGTCTGAGGTCTGAGGTGTGCGTGCGTGTGTGCACATGTGTGCGTATGTGTGTGTGTGTCGTATGTCTGTATGTGTGCGCATGTGTGGGTGTGCGTGTGCGCATGTGTGCGTATGTGCATGTGTGCATGTGTGTGTGCTTGTGTATGTGCATGCGTATGTGCACACAGCACATCAGTATGTAGATCTTACACATTCTGCGCATCTCCTGTGAGGATTGCCAGCAGCTGTGCACGCTCATCATCGGTTACAAACTTGCTGGTGGAGCCAGACACGGCATCGGACGCAAGACCAGTTGCCGATCGCCTGCACAGACACACACAGAGACAGACGGACCGTCAGATATACTAGCATACACAGATGAAAATATGTACTCAAAGTACATATTCATCATATGCACATTGATGGGATTGCTAACTGTGATTTTCGGGAAAAAACGCGACAAGACTTTGGTGTGAATGAAAAGTTGAAATTATTGCACGAAAAGCTGGGGGTGCAAAATTCGAAAGCGGAAAGAACAGGAGAAAGGAAACTGCACTGGTGGGTCCAATCGGGGCCTGTGTAAAGAAAACAACTATTTCATTAGTGTTGAAACGAGCATATCTATAACAAACGAGCGAACAGTTCCACTAACGAGCAAGCTATCGAGCTAGCTAACGAGTTTCATTGATGTGACAAAATATGATTTAAATTTTTTTTCCAAGTTCGATTTGTTTTCAATTCAGCTGGTTCAAATTATCACCGCCGCATTTGGGGTTGCTGCTGCCTCCCTTTGGACTGCTGTTTGGCGTCGAGATGTCTTTTCAGCGCCGTCGTTGAGCAGCCTTTATAAGAATAGACCGTTTGCAAAGATTGCAAGCAGCCCTGTTCTTCGCTGCATCGTGGGAGAAAACTTCCAAACGACTGAGCATAACTTTCACTCGAATGGAGAGTTGACAGAAGCATGCCCTGCGACAGGTCAGCAGATGCGGAACAAGACATCAGTGGAGTCCATCAAAGCTGCAAAGACAACTGAAACAACTCGGTGTTGTGCATTCATACAGTCAATGTAACTGCGAGTGATTTCACTGGACTCTCAATCGACCAGGGAGTCATAGAATATTTTACGACTCCCCGGTCGATATGTACTGCCATGTGTACGGAGTACGGTGTTCTTGAGTGCAAACGAGCTGGCCGAACAAACGAGCCGAGTTTCTGGCGAGCGAGCTAACGAGTACCCGGTGAGATCGTTTCAACACTATATTTCATTGCATCTATAGAAAAGAAAAGGACCAAGGAACTACAAGTTACTCTATAATGTCCACTAACACCAGTAGTTACTAAACAATCAGCTCATGCGATAACATTGCACGGCTCTGACTGACAGTACTGACTGACGGTACTGACGGTACTGACTGACGGTACTGACTGACGGTACTGACTGACGGTACTGACTGACGGTACTGACTGACGGTACTGACTGACGGTACTGACTGACGGTACTGACTGACGGTACTGACTGACGGTACTGACTGACGGTACTGACTGACGGTACTGACTGACGGTACTGACTGACGATACTGACTGACGGTACTGACTGACGGTACTGACTGACGGTACTGACTGACGGTACTGACTGACGGTACTGACTGACGGTACTGACTGACGGTACTGACTGACGGTACTGACTGACGGTACTGACTGACGGTACTGACTAACTGTGTTAGTGAACATTATAGTGTAACTTTTAGTTCATTGGTCCTTTTTCTTTTCTATAAATTTATCCTTAGCTCTCCATCCGAGTCCATTCATTGCATCTCCTAAGATAAGGGTCCCTCGAGTCCAACACGGTGTCTTCGCAGCATTCGTCACTTGTAGTGTTCAGCAACGTTTTTGGGCCTGGCCCATCATCTGGTCCATCATCAGTGTAAGAAAAAAATGATGCAAACATAGAATGAACTTAGAAAAGGTTATCTCCTAAGATGTGAATTACAGTAAAACCTGTGACTAACGACCACTCCTGGGGGCCAGAGAAAGCGGTCTTTAGTGGCAGGTGGTCCTTAGTTGGAGGTTTGCACCACACAACCCTATATGAATGTGAGACCGTCCGTCCGTGCCTGGCAAAGTGGTCTGTGGTACCAGGCCGGTCGCTAGTGACGGTGGTCTTTAGTGACATGTTTTACTGTAAAGGGGCTAGGACACAAGGTTCAGATGAATGGAGTGTCGATACAGGTTGGGCTGTCTTGCACCGAGGGCCGGCTAAAGCGGTGAACACAACGACGACGGCACTACAGTGCGTTTCAAAAAGTATAGACCGCTGGTTTCAAAAAACTGTTAGGCCAGCATCTGTACCACATCAAATCTGTGAATCCTTTGTGCATAAAACGTCCGAAGTTGGGCGCTTGTTATCAATCGCCTAGAAATTTATATGAGAAAATTTGGGAGAACTGCCTGAACAATATCCCGAAGAAATTTCCTCAAAAGTTCAAAATAAATTTGAATATTCGAAAATGTCTAGAGGTACCGCACTGCTGTAATAGCTCACCGCTTGAACGACCAGTGGAAATAGATGGGTAGAAAGGACTTGCTCCCGGACAGCTCCGTCTTGAGCGCCTCCAGAGCCGGAGGGCTGATAGCCCATAGCGAGCCGGAGCGCGACGGGATGAGAAAGTGAGACACGTCCGTGTATGTGTACGTGGAGATCTCGTTCAGCGCCGCTTGCGACCGGTTGGCCTGCCGGTCACCGGGGGAAAGGAAAGCAACGCATAGAACATGACACAACACTGATGCACTGGGTGAAGACACATGTTTGTACAGCGTCAGACACTAGCTGGCGTTTCGCACGAGTTGTGTGGGGCGTTGAGTAGTGCGAGTGAAAGGCATAATACGAGCTCGTATCTAAGTCAAGTTTCACATTCTCTTGCTGTAACTAACACATTGCAAGCATCTTGAACAGTGGAAGATGACATACTCATCCATCTTCGGTTAAAGGGGAAGTTAAGGCAAAAATTAAAATTTCACCAGTGGTAGTCTTCGGGGTGCTGAGTCGACTGGTCTTGGTCCGAGAAAGCTGAGACGCTCCCTTCCTACTTGAATCCCAATCGAACTCGCGCACTTCCACCGAAACTGGGTGACTGCGCCCTACTAGATGGGGATTTGTATGCAAAATGTCACTAAAAGCGCCATTTCGTTCTTATAAAAGCACGGATGACCGCGATTGGCCCATATGTTGTAGTCTTTCGGACGCTGAGTCGACTGGTTTTGGCCCGAAAAGGCTGCGATGCAGCGTTCTTCCTTCATTCCCAATCGAACATGGTTGAACAAGCGGTCATGTGCTCCTGCGTACGCCAGTCACCTGGTCAACGTGCCTGCAGGGTACAGCTTACTAGCCTGTTTGACCTTTTTTGGGTGCAGTCCTGTCACTCGAGTTGAACATTGGTGTGAAAGTTGTCGCCTGCTGGCGTGGTGACCAGGTGATTTGGGCACCCAGGAGCACGTGACCGCTTGTTCAACCATGTTCGATTGGGAATAAAGGAGGAACGCTGCATCGCAGCCTTTTCTGACCAAAACCAGTCGACTCAGCGTCCAAAAGACTACAACATATGGGCCAATCGCGGTCATCCGTGCTTTTATAAGAACGAAATGGCGCTTTTAGTGACATTTTGCATACAAATCCCCATCTAGTAGGGCGCAGTCACCCAGTTTCGGTGGAAGTGCGCGAGTTCAATTGGGATTCAAGTAGGAAGGGAGCGTCTCAGCTTTCTCGGACCAAGACCAGTCGACTCAGCACCCCGAAGACTACAACTGGTGAAATTTTAATTTTTGCCTTAACTTCCCCTTTAAAAACTTTTAAACAGTGTAGGCACAAATCAGTGTGCATGCTGTACAGCGGGACTCATCTAGTACGTAATCTGGTAAGATATAAAGTCAACTTTGCGTATAACGACACTCAGCGGGGCATCAGAAAAGTGTCCTTATTCGCGAAGCGTCCTTATACCCGAAGTCTCATTATATGTATACAGGTAGAATGGACTTTGCTCTGGGCATGGAAATTCTTTCGTTATTTGCGAATTGTCGTTATATCCGCAGTCGTTATTAGCCAAGTGGACTGTAGACAAAGTGTCTGAAGACCTTGCTGCAAATAGTGCTCAACACCCTAACAAGGGAAGAGCGCACTACACAAGGCAGAACAACAGAGACCAAAAGCTTTCTCGTTACGTAACGAGAAAGCTATTTGGTCTCTCTTGTTCTGCCTTGTGTAATATGATAAGATATCAAATTATTGCTTAGTTTTGACGCCACTCGCCTATTTACACATGTTTCAAGACAGCCTCTCGAATGCTTCTTGTTTGACCTTACATTGTTTGTTTATTTGATTATTTCCCTCTGAGTCAAGTTGGTGCGAACGCACACGTGGAGATGCTCCAGTCTATAGCTATGCTATTTTCCGTGGTTGGATTCACCCTCCCTTTCTTGTATTGGCTATGTATTATTATGTGCCATGAAGTGGAGACGATAAATAAATAAATAAATGCCGTAGTCCATTCCGCTGTTCCGAGTGTCCATGCTGTCGTCCTACTGACGCTGATAATTCTCTCCTTCTGCTTCCTCGTGTTCTGCTTTGCTTCTCCATATCTCTTCTCTTCTGCTTCCTCGCGTTCTGCTTTGCTTCTCCGTCTCTCTTCTCTTCTGCTTGCTCGTGTTCTGCTTTGCTTCTCCATATCTCTTCTATTCTGCTTCCTCGCGTTCTGCTTTGCGTCTCCGTCTCTCTTCTCTTCTGTTTCCGCTTCAAACCTGTACTTCCTCCGCGTCATCGAAATTGTCGCAGTTTGACTAGTGATTTGTCACTTGTTACTGACAACTCCATAAGCTAAGCCATTCAAAACTTATTACACAGTATGATAGTCTGAAGACTAGAGTAACGTTCCAGGACAGTTGGACTGAGAGTTTTCATGCAGAGATGAAGTCCTCGTCGTCGCTGATGTCAATGGACGCAAAAATATCGTTCCGAAATATTTCAAGGAAGGTTGAAAGTTGGTCGCGCCTCATCTCAAACGCTTTGACTTTCTCCACAGGACAAGAGCTGCTATGCTTGTCGTCTGCTAGCTCTGGATGATTTCTAATTCACCACCAACGAAGCCTAGTAAGAATACACGATCGTTGCGAGGTCGGTTGATTATCGTCGGCGGAATCACCTCGATCTTGAAATGAACTTTTTTTAGCCGTGGCATGCCGATTTATTTTAGCTGTGTGGTCACAGCTCATGCAGGTAAGTGTACTATCACGTTCAGTTTGCCCTGTTTTTGAGCATCACTGGTATACCATGGTACGGCACCTGCGCGTGCATCACTAGCACTACGTGTAGAGTCTACACGGCTCTTGCAGGTACAATCATGTACTGAGTGTCTCAGCCAGAGCGACAAATTTTATCGCTGTTGCAGGCATTTAGTTTGCTGACGCCTCGATGTTTCTCCATGCGCTGCCACTTGTTCCACGAAGTCATTCTCACCCCAGCTAAGGTAAAACAGTGATGAGGCTTGAGTGAATGGCCATAAGCACGAGAAATGTGCAGGCTGCAACGCCTGACTGATCTCAGCGAGTCGAAATTACCATCGCAGCGACATCAGCGAAGAAATTGCGTCTAGTTCAAAAATTCCAGCTTCCAATAACAAAAAATAGAACTTTGCTGTCACCCTATACTGATGACTAACGCCTATGTCCGATTCCTTGCCTCTGGTACGAGTGCTGGTGAGTAAATACCCCGTTTTATATCAAAAGTCAAACTGCGACAATTTCGATGACGCGGAGGAAGTAGTTGTTTGAGCTGCTCTCATGACTATTTGTGTTTTTTGAAAATCTTTCGTACCCGCGATCATGCGCTTCTACAACTGCGCTGTGCAGTATGTGCTATGGCTAGGGCTGTGTTTACATGAGAATTTTCAACCCGGGTCGAGTTCAGCCCGGGTTCAAAGTCTGTACGATGGAAAAAAAATAGGTGGGTGTTTATATGAAGACAGTTGACCCGGGATACTGATATACCGCCAAAAGTCCACTTCTAGGGTCCTGTATGGTCACGTGGATGCCTTCGCGTGAAATCTGACCGTGCAAACCTGGCGTGAGATACGCACAGAAGTACGGTGGTACGATTTCTCAATTTCACCCCCCCCCCACCCCCCTACCCCAGGGGAGGGTTAAAATCAACCCGGGTCAAGTGCAATGCGTCATGCGCGCCAGTCAATCTGTGTTCATGGCGGGTTGAAACTCGATCCGGGTCGAACTCAACCGGGGGTTGAAACGCCTGGTGTAAACACAGCCTATGGGTATGAGTCATGCTTGCACTATGATTCCTTTCGTATCACGTGTATGTGTATGTGTATGTGTATGTGTAGGCGCAAGGATGCTGTGGCTTTGCAGGCCCTTTTTGCTCCCTTGTGACGGGAATGGTCTTAGAGACTGCTTCTCCCATTCCCGTTGGCTTTCCATTCTCATTTTGTCATAATTATTTACACTCTTTCTGCATGCTCTGTATGGTGATCCCCAAATTAATTATTGTTCATGTTCATGTATCACGAACAGCTAGTACTCTATACACTATCCACGTTTACAAACACACTTCATTTGACATCTAACTACTCATCCTTAATCTACCTCTCACACCGTACTGGAAATATACAAAATTTCGGCACTTCACGATTTTTGACATTTCGGCGGCGATTTATTTTCGGCGTGAGGTAGAGGGCATGGTATCGTGCGACAGATGCTGTGAAAAATGTCATCGGCGTTTTAATTTAGGCGTTTTGGGTCGGTGCCGAATATAGCCGAAATTAAATAGCTGCCGAAAATTTGTATATTTACAGTATATTTACAGAGTACAGTAAAACCTGGTTTAAGCGACCACCCGACGGTGCAAGCAAAAGCGTTCGTTCAAGCCAGGCGGTCTTCAGAACCAGGTCACACAGTGTCTGTGTAGAACTGTCGGTGCATGGAGAGACGGTTGTTAAGAGCAGGTGGTCGCTAAACCCAAAGGTTTACTGTACTGTAAAACTGGGAATTTTCGGTTGTGTAATATTTTCGGTATTTTCCAAAATCAAAGGTTTGGTAGCGCAAAAATTCGGTAAACCAGTTTTCCAGATCCAAAAATGCGTTTTGCACACTGTGTGGCATGGCTTGGTTGAATTTTGGACGTGTTTTATTTAAGGGAAAGATTACCTGTACCGAAGTTACCGAACATAAAACTCCACCGAAATTTTCCGGTTTTACAGTAATACCTACAGCACTGACTAGCCATGAAAGCCTAACAGTTTTCTAGACTTGGACATGAGGCAGATTCTTGCCAGTATCAAGGGTAGCACTCATAAACCTCACCTTGACTTGAACGTAGTCACTTTGTGTGATATTCTTCACAAAGTCCTCTTCACCAGTGAAGCGAAACATCGGCTGGTGGGCACATGGGCATGTACACACACACACACACACACACACACACACGCACGCACACACGTGCACACGCACACACACACACACAAAGATACACAGTCAAGACGTGTAAACCCTGACAACAATCACGACTGGGATGGAACTAGCTTCAAACAAACACGCAGCTAACAGTCTAACGCGGTAGCTTGACTTTCTGCACAGTGACACTGGCCCGTCAAATCCAACCACTAGCTTGAGAACTACGCCAATAGCGGGCACGGTGGACGCGCCTGTCCTGAGCTAAGATACACGACTACAGGGCGATAAGCACTGCATACTTGATGGCGGTGTGGAGAGTGTTCCAGCCGTCACACTCCATTGGTCAGCACAGTGCAACACTACTGTTGTCGAAGCTGCCGTTCCCCAAAGAGCCACTGCTAGAGGCTCCTTGAGCAGTGCTTTAATTATACCCCCCCCCCCCCCCAACAGTACTCTGAAGGAAATCCGATCAAGCGAGTGAATGCCACGCCGGGCGCTGCTGCGCAGCCCCAGACCTGCGAACACAGGGACGGTGAACTGGTGCGTGCAGGGCGCAAACTTGATTCACGAGATTGGATTTCATTATTTGATCAGCACCGTAGTTCTGTTGAGTGTCCTTAGTAGCGAGATAATGGTAGCAACTCCGGCGATGATTTCATAGGAAAAGTGGTTGTCCCTCCACCACCGTCAAGTGTCAAGTCGGAGGAGGGTGTGGGCTCCGGTGCGGGGAGCAAACACTTTCCCTATCCTTAGTAAAGTACTCAAATTAACCACCTAACCAACCAGCCAACACCAGAGCCATCAGCTGTATCCACATTTCGTCTCTCACCTCATAGCCAGCCAGCTGCACTGACAGCGTTCCCGAGTACGGCTGATTGGGCAGACTGGTAGAGTTGACCAAGGAGATAATAATAAGGGGCAGCCACAAGACAAGAATCAGCGCCGCTACTCCAAAACCACCCGTCACTATCTTTACGCCCACACCGATGATCTTGCCCAGCTTACGCGGAGTTCTCTGCGCGGAAAACAACAAACACGATTACGGACACACGCACGTACACACACACACACCCAGCACGCATGCTTGCATCCCCCCCCCCCCCCCCCACACTCAAACACACAAACCGCACATGCACGCACACAGAAAGACAGAAAGACACACAAACATACAACGGTAAATGCCCGAGGGGTGTGCAATGCAAGACGTGGCAGGGCTACAGGACACTCAGCATACCACATAATTATGTATTTTACGAGTTGGGTCTGTGAAGAATAGTAAAAAAAACCCGAAGAGCAGACAAAATAAAACACATAAAAGACATGTCATGTGATTAAAGCGGAGTGAAATAAGAATGAGGTGAGCTAATGTCATGAACCTGCACTCTACTGTACTGTAGGTCGCATCCTCCGGCGTTTTGCAAAACTTGGGGGAAACTCACAGGCTTGGGCAGAAATACGTATGTTCACACACGTGTCCTCTCTCCATGCAAACACGACACGTACACACGTACACACACCAACATACATACATGTACACACACACACACACACACACACAATACACAAACGCACACACACACACACACACACACACACCAATACACAAACACACACACACACACACACACACACACACAAACACACACACACATACACGCACCTACCTCCCCCCCCCCCCCCCTCACACCCACCCAAACACACACACACACACACACACACACACACACACACACACACACACACACACACACACACACACCCAGCATAACAGCTACAGACACAACTCACCCTTTCGTCATCCTTGAAGCACTGAATAACGTAGATATTGGCCCGTATGTCCTCCACCTTGAACCAGTACATGATGGAGAGGACGGTATTTGTACACGCCCAGTCTAGCAGTGTGCGAATCTCCAGCAGAAATGGTATCGCCTGGATTCTGTACAAGCAAGAATACAAACACACGCATGCACACACAAGAACACACAAACACACACACACACACACGCGTGCACGCGCACATATCCATGTACCGTAAAGTACCGCCAGAGCGCCCCGCCATCTCGTCCTTTCGTGGTCGTATTGTGGAGTTGGTCTCCTGTCTGTAGGTCATACGATACGAACTTTGTACACATATTCCACGTTCTGCATACAATCCGTACCTTCAAGTGAACACGGGCTCCACACAAAACCTGCTTAGTGTGACCTTAGTACACTAAAGTTCACACAAGGTACAAACTTTGTTGCACTCTGCCATACGATTTTTCCTTTTCCTGGCTGTAAAATCAGGGTGGGGCGCTCTCGCGAGACGGGGCGCTCTGGCGGTACTTTACGGTAATTACGCTACGCGCCGTGGAGACAAGAAATGATTGCGCAACAGCAAAAGAGAAAATATCAGAATTCAACAGCCCACACATGTTGTGCGCGCACTCATGTGCATGCACAGACAGACAGACATACATACAGACAGACAGACAGAAAGACAGACAGACAAACAGAGAGACAGACAGGCACGCACGCACGCACGCACGCACACACACACTTACCCTAAAAACAAGACGGCGGAAATAACACTGGACTCCTTGGTGAGGAAGTTCCCAAGAATACGCGTTGGATAACCAGCAGCTATTTGCCGTGATGAAAAGGCAAAGTACACGCACTTGAAGAAGTACCATGCTTGCACAACAGGATTGTCATGGAATGGTCTGGCCAGAACGAGGCAGGGCAAAGTGGTAATGAACACAGCACAAATTACATTATTTTATAAAAATGATTTAAGAAAATGTTTTAGAATTGCAATCAACAGAACGAGCTGAACCGACATTTCACAAAGGCTTTATCGTATTAAAAAAAAAACCCGAGTGGATACAACAACAAAAAAACGTTATACGCGACACTACGGCAGTAGAAACGTTTCTTCAGCACAGAATTCAGTTTTCTGAGTCACAGTATCTTTGACCGGGCCCCTATGGTGGGCCTCATTGACTCGTCCTATCACTTAAACACTTACGTCACATGGCGTCAACGAATACATTGACACGGAACAATGCAACGCGATGTTGCGGGTGAACTACTTTGGGCGACATTTTGCCTAGAGCATTTCGCCTCACACATCAGCCGCGCTATTGTTCTTCACGTATCATGAAACCTACTTCATTACCCATATGGATATCATCAGTGCATGGTCACCTCATTGGCCTCATACATAGCATGCTTTCTTTTACTTTAGTCGTATCTGGTGAGGTAAATTGCTGTAAAGTGAGAAACTTTCGCAAGAGATTAAATTTCGCTATTTTTGCGACCAATCTCACATTCGCGAATATACCGTATATTCTCTATTATAAGCGCAGGTCTCCATCACTAGCGCAGTCTCTAATACTAGCGCACTCTGAGTGCCTATTGAAAATTTATTAGCGCAGTCTCTATCATAAGCGCAGCGCTTGTACTGGAGTGGGTTTCGGACCATGCGCAGCCATGCTGACGTCACGAAACTGCACGCGCGTACGCAGCGCATCTACTTCACTGTACGACGAGTGTGTACAGTGTTCAAATGCGTTCAAATTGATCTCATTTGCAGGAACAGAGTACAGGTCAGTACATGAACCGTTCAAGGACTCTTGATAAAAGAAGGAACTACCGGGTAACTGAAGTTTGTTGGATCGTCGTTTCCTTACCTTTCAGTTTGACTTGTGCGTAGCCACGAAGTGTGTTAGTGAGAATGGATGAACAAGCTGCTTCCTCTGTGAAGACTAGAAAGAGAAACTCTGTGCCGGTGAAAAGGAAATTAGAAGCTGTGAAGTTTGCGGAGCAAGTGTCGAATTCAGCGGCAGCGAAAAGGTTCGGTGTGAATAGAAAGCAGATACAAGAATGGCGAAAGGCGAAGGCGAAACTCGAATCAGCTGCGAAATCTGGCAGCAGTAAACGAGTACATGGTGGTGGCCGGACACTTCGATTCAAGATGGTGAATGATCGCGTTCGGGATTGGGTTCACGAAAAGCATGAACAGCGTCAGTTTGTTTCTCGACGCCTCATTCGACTCCAAGCAAAGAAAATAGCGAAGGACTTACCAGACTGTGGAGATTTCCGAGCTAGTATTGGGTGGCTGGAAAAGTTTCTGCGTCGTCATAAGCTGACTC